CGCAAACCATAATAGTACCGTTGACCGGTTGATCGTATTACCACAATGTAAAGACATAAATACCATCAATATTGGCGCACTCATAATGGCAATTACGAGTTTTAACAATTGAGATCAGAGTTTCGACCAGCCACCCCAGAATTCCCCTTGTGCGATACGTCCTTGGTTAAGATGGTACTTTCAAATTGAGACCCGGGACGAAGAAGTTTAAAGGACCTATGGCGAATCACGACTCGGGATCAAATGTCTGGTAATTCAAGAATCGAATCGAATCTTTTTCGAATCAAATCGATCCTCAAATACTTGGGATACATGTAATTGTATGTGACTTTTTACTGCAATTGCTGATTTCAACACATTAAATTACTTGAAACATAAAGTTCATAACCCAGACAGTTTGCTGAGCGTTCACACATAATAAAAAACGGCGCTCTCGAAGTATGTGCACCGAGATGGTGCACAACCTGATTATCCTAACCTGGTACACATACTATGTTCAGGTTGTGCGCCATCTTGGGGCACATACAATAACTCACGAGGAAGAAAAGAGTCATAATTGCATTGTAAAATATGGTTTTAATAAGAAAATTGGAGAATTTTTCTCGACCTTCGAAAAAAAAAAAGATGGCCGCGATTCAAAATTTTCGTCTAAACCAGGGGTCTCCAACTCAAAATTTGTCACGGGCCACTCTTTGAACTTTATTGACCACGCGGGCCACAAACCAACAAATTAGCTACAGAATTGTTACATAAAAAGTAACAAATGCATGCAGTTATGAATGAATGATTAATAACTGCATACTTCAATGATCTGACCGACACTTGTTTATTTCGTCATAATAAAATTGCGAAATGAAATTTTCAATCCTAAAATTCAATCATTACAATGAATGTTTTTCTGGTCATCGATTTCCTTGTTTATTTCCGTAAGAATTACAAATCAGCGATAAGTTAACATTGACGTAACAATTGGAATTTATGCCGCCGGTCAGACACTTCTCTTACTCCTATTCAGATATTCAAGCGTAGTTGAAAACATTGCTTCTTTTTGGTAGTTTCTCTAGTTATTTGTCATTTTGTAGTTGTGTTTCCAAAAAATACTTGTAAATCAAATAACTTAATTGTCATTGTATCTTCTAAAAATATGAATGTGGTTAAGTGGAATACCAGATGGGAATTTTTGCTTCACTTTTTACAGTTTGTCAGACCGGACTCTTGATGTTAAATAACACGATAAAACTTCCTTATAGTTGACATCGTACTATTTTAGTTTTTTTTTTGTGGAAAAATCTCAACCAATCAACCGTGGGCCGAAACAAATTGCCGCGTGTTGGAGACCCCTGGTCTAAACCGAATTGAATAATTTACTATCCAAGTCTAATTGCCCAGCGCTAATCAAGACGTCGGGTATGGTGTGGAATAGTTTCCAGTAATTTGTCGTAGGTGCATGATTTTGACCATAACATAGGTATTTATGTAAACCGAAAACCGTTAACTTAACCATCCTAGTATTTTTGACGAATTAATATTAATAGTAAGTACGCTTGCGGGCAGAATATCAATTAGTTGACTGATTTCTGCCTAAGTGCAAACGATAGTAATTACAAGGCTTGAACTGTTGTACACGGTACCGGAGGCTAAATATACCGTAGCGTAGTAATGGGCAGTCAACACTAACAACTTTAATATGCCGTTAGAATCGTTTGGTTGGTAATAGGATAGGATGGTTTTATGTCATAGGGAAGGAGAGAAAAGGTGACACGACGGCTCAATTATATGGATACCTCTAGTTATGTTACCAATTCCGGTACGGTATAGGAATAGGTGGTCAGTTCTCCTCTCCGTACGCATGATCTTGGTAGCGGAGGAAGCTGTAACAAAAACCAAATTTTTGAAGCAGCGTACTTCGCTGTCGAAGTTATTCAAGGTTATACAAGCGCGCATTTGCATCTGTTTTATTTGATTCATTTGGCGATAGAAATTATTAATACCAACCCAGGAAACGTCAATTTTCAGTGAACCGTTCAAGAATACAAGGAAAGTTTGTTTAAAAAAGCGAAAGAATTTTTTTTCCACTGCAAATACCCCCCTGACTACGCTATTGTACTCGTTGCCGGTTTGCGTAACTACTGGTCGGTAACATCCAGTATAGGTGCAAGTCTCTAAACCTCGTGTCGTTCGATTCAAGTATCAGCAATTTGGTACTCCAGAAGTATGCGCACCAAGATGTCGCAAAACCTGAACCCCTAACCTGGTACAAAACCTGAGTTCAGGTTGTGCGCCATATTGGTGCGCATACTTCAGGAGGTCCAGCAATTTTTAAAATTATACTCTCAAATCGAATCGATTTACAACACTTTCGATTAAAAGTCGAGTTGAAATCGCAAATCGAGACCGAGTTCCAGTAGTTTGAATATTTATGAATATCATTGACACTAAGACTTTCAACCAGCGGTAAACCAACGTTATTTTGAAATTCAGACTAAGATTTAGTCATCTCCCCCAAGGAGGAAAATAAATATAAACCAAGTACCACCGGACTAGAAATAATCTGGTTCAGGTTAATTTTCTTTGTATCGCTCTTTTTTTCACGTGTATACTATAACAGTGTTTTTCAATTTTTTTTGTTACGACATATTTGGCACGGACAAATTTTTTCCGACCCTAAAGAACTAAAATAAAAAATAAAGTAAACAGAAAATATTAAATATAAAACAATAAAATCGACAATACTTTAAATGAGACCTATGTGCTTTTATATTCTCGCAAAAAAAAACGAATCTTGACTCTATTTTGGTGATGTTTCGTCTCAGTTTTGGTTCCAAATCTTTTACATTTGATCGATTTTTTTTTTTTAACGAAAGTTAGTGGCGAAAAAGATTTTACCACGACCCCCATTGAGTCCTTTCGCAACCCACGAGGGTCGGACCCCAGTTTGAGGAGAGTAGCGCCATCAGAATAAAGTATATTTTTTCACGTCAATGATTGTTTTACAGATACTTATTCAAAGTGTAAAAACTCTAAAAACGGTCCTAAAAGTTCAACATTTTTGTAAAATTTTATGACTCCATACAGTCCTTTGCTGCCCACTACCGACTAGCAAATATACTTCAACAGTTTTTCAATTAATTTTCCGATCAACAAATAATATTTTGCAAAAATTTTACGTCTATATAATTCCAATAAAATTTCAGAACGATTTTTACGTTATATGGTTGAACAATATCACTGAAGCGTGACTTATGACGTAATTAATATCGTCAGTTGCCGTTGCTAGACACGCCACGCTGGCTTTGCTTTGTTTAGTTAGCTCGTTCGCGTCCGCCCCGCGCTGATTATGCGGCGTGTTGTTATATCAGCGGGCGGTGAGGAGCTGGCTCAAATATTCAACGATATATATTTAGGCGCATGGTGTGCTTTTTTTTATTGAGGAGGGGAATGTAATACTGGTGAGAGGTAATAAAAATGAAACCGAATACTAAAATAAGTCTGTAAGTGTTTATTTCAGTATAAGTTTATTTTGAATCCATAATCAGCATGAAAGACAAAAAATAATTGAATAAAACAAATACATGAAACTGATTACAAAATTAGGAATACGAACAAAACCTTAAGTAAGGTTTAAAACGTACAGATATTAGATTGAAAGGGATTGTTAAAAGAAGTGATATGTGTTCCGTCATCCAAATCCTGAAATCTTAAAATAGAATAGGATTTACTTATTTCAGTACCTATCACTGTATCACCAGGAGTAGAGATCCTATAATATAGTAAGATGGCTTAATCGTATGGTCAAGAAGGCGAACCACATCAGGCTGCCAGTCCATGTTGGGTATAGGAATAGTTGAACCCAATATTTGATAAAATTTTAGGAAACAATATTTGAATATTCCTGGAGAAAAATCAATTGCCAGAAGAAAGTTGCAAGCAACTGCCTGTTTGCTGTATGTCAGAAAGTCTAATTAGTTCCATCTTGATATAATATGCAGAATAATAGTGTAATAACAGGTCCAAAATGTTTGCAACCACTGGCTTGGTAAGACTCTGTCATTATTTAAAAGTGACTCTGAATTTTTGAATCCCAGTAAAATACAATAAAACTCTGGAAAATGAAAATTTCAATCACAAAAGTTTGACGTACGCATTGTTATGCGTTATTTGTCTCGTGTGATCATATGTACGAAAACTGCTCAAAATAGTCTTGACTTTATTCATTTGGGCGTCGCTACTCATTAGCCATCTTGTTCTCCCTTGTGCTTCACTTTACCAATAAAATATATCATGTTGACTTCGTTGGAATTGTGATTGTTTTTTACTGGCTTGAAAAGGGTCAATTTTAAAATGAAAAAAAAGCAATTCTCTGTATCATACATAGCAATTCTCTGTATCATACATAGCAATTCTCTGTATCATACATAGCAATTCTCTGTATCATACATAGCAATTCTTCGTTGCCTGAAACGCTTTTTATATTTTTAGATTGGACCCTCAAGTCATAGCATGAGGCATAGCATGACAATTTTCTCAAGTATCAATCCTAACCCCCACCTGACTACACTATCCAAAAATTACATCATTGCGACGTCACAGTGAGGTAATAGAGCCCTTCAAACTATAGAACTTCCATCCAAGACGCGCAAACAAGCACCTGAAATCGAACAGTTATTTCTCTCGTTTTCTCGTCGCAATGATTCCAATAGGAGCAAGATCAATAACGTCAGTCAGTTCTTTATCGTCGGCGCCAATGCCATTTCGGGCGATTGTACGTATATTTGACAAGCTCTATGACGTGTTCGTGATGTTGTAGTGACGTAATTTTTGGATGGCGTAGTCAGATGGGGGTTAGGATTGACATATCAAAAAATTGTTATGCTACACCTACTAGAAGTACGTTAGGTTTGAAACTACACGAGACCCGAAATATGTTTTGTGTTAGTGTGCAGCAAGACTCTTGAATCACATACAATAGTATATTTTTACTGTATGTAAAATAATAATTTTGCCAACGACTATTCTCTTATCATACAGTTTGTGTCATATATCACACTGGTTTTATCTTTTCCTCTGTTATTATCACTGAACATGGCTCCCGAAGTTTACAACGCTGAATTTGAGAAGGCGGGAAAAAAACCTGGACTACAAATATGGAGAATTGAGGTTGGAAAGAATTAGTTTTCTATTTTCATGCAGTGTTCCCAATCTTTTTTAGTCGTGAACGTTGAAGAAAAATATTTTGTCATACTAGCAAAAAACCCCATTCACGAAATAGGCTCTAATCATAATGTATATGATACTTTTTATATAAATATCATAGAACAGTGGTTCCCATCCTCTTTATATCCTTTGGCCACTACCTGTAGACTTTTAGCGCTTATGGCCCCTTGCGCGGTGGTGTGGCTCATCGTGCTAAGCGTTAGGAATACGCTCGCCACCGCACCTCTAATTACTCTGCGTGGGTTCGCAGGTTTGAATCCCATGCAGAGATGGTTATGTGCGAGAGGATTGCTGGACTCCTCGCCGCTGTAGGGTGGTTCACATAACCGCTGGTTGGTTACAACTTCCTCCACCACCAAGTCCATGCTTCCGAAAACAAACAATATAACTAGTTCCATACCCGACATGGAATGGTAACCGGACGAGAGGCCGCGGTTCGCCATATGGATAAGCCGTCTTATTGCCTTTCCTCTTCCTCGGGATAAATATGTAAATCCTATCATTGGTATTTATAGTGTTATTTTGATTGGTTGATTCCAAATCCCATTATGTTCGAACAATTCATGCTCAACAAAGTGAAAATACCCTGTGAAATAACCTTATCAAGCAATGAAACTAAGAAGAACAGGGTTGAAAGAAAAAAGTAAAATCAGTTTTGCATCTGGCATGATGGCACCCCTCTAACTGCTCTGTGGCCCCATTGGTAGGTCACGCGTCCCCGGTTGTAAAGAATAATTACTATAATGTGATTTTTTGAATGTTAAATTGTTAAAATTAGAATACACTCCATATCATCAAATTTCAGAACTTTATTTTAAAATGTATTCAGAATAGTATTGCATTCAGTTTGGGTTCTTATCCTGATAAATATACCTTATCAACTGTGGATATGAATAATATTATCCTAAATATACCTAATATAAACACTTCATTATATGAAATACAATCAATTTTTTTTCGTAGTGCGTAATAAATTATTTGATTCCAGCTCTCTTTGAGAGAGGTCCATCTTCTCAAATATCCTAGAAAGAATATCCAAATGTGGCCGTGAATAATAATATTCTGAAGTACTCCAGTTCGTATCAAATATGCTAAAAACTATCAAAGTTTCCATTTTTACTGTCATAGAACAAGGGCTTTAAAACTGAGGTTCGCTGGCACCATGGGGTCCGAGAAAACCAAATTTCCCGAAAACTAAATCCAACTATAGTCGTGTTGTAAACTTTTGTTAAATCAAATGTAATGAATTTTGAGTTTTTTTGAATCAGGGTTGCCCAAAATTAGGTATACAGTTATTTTATTTATTTTTTATTACCTTCCAAGCAGCTAGAAAACTAATGTAAAATTCACACTAGATTCATTATCTAAAAAAACAAGCAATTTTTGTGGTGCTTAGCAAGTAACATAAAGTGAACTGCAAGTAGCTTCAAAGCATATAAAATAGTTTAATAACTGTATACCTACTTTTGGGCCACCCTGTATATTTCATATTATTATTATCTCAAACTTGTGATAAATAATTTGGTTTTGATAAATAATTCCGTGTTGGCCCTCTTCAAGAGAGAGAAATAACCGAAATATTATTCCCAGGTGTGATAGGCCGAGAATGCTAAGATTCATTATATTTACTCAAGATACGGTAATCAGCCTCTGCAGATTCCATTAATCGCTTTTCACATAAATTACCCGCCTGATATTTCCTGACCACGAGGACTAGCAAACAAAATAGAAATCAATTAATTTACAATCATCTAAGTTTGGTTGATATATAATAAGAGGCTGTGTAGTATCTTTTACCTTCGGGCCATGTTTGAACGATGAATATTAATATTTCGACATGAATGCTGTAAAACATTAACTAATGCGTACACAACCCGTCCGTTACCATATATGGAATGCTCTGTGATATCACAGAAGGGTCTTGCATTAGGGAGTGGCTGAGTATATTTACTCAAGATGTCGATGAATGTACGTATTGGTGGCATGACATGCAGAACCGATAAGATTGCTTAATAATCATGTTGAAACACAGCTAAATAAGGCCTGATATATACAAAGTGTCCAAAAAAATGTTGCCATATTTTATAGTAATAACCGGTAAAATTTCTTTGGCTTGGTTTATTATTAATAGTTTCCTATTGTGTTTGTAGTTCCCATTTATTATACAATAAATTTTATTAACTTACAATTGTTATTCCTATAAAATCGAGCGATTTTTTCTGGACACGCTGTATTTTTTATACAACTGGATTTGTTATACAACTTTTATTCGCACCTCCCGCTCCGAACAAAGCTTTATACGAGCTTCCACTGATATCCAATGATATGGAAGACGCTACTATGCCTTGGAGGACAGGAATCTTCCCAGTTCGGCCTTCTCAATTTAGCACACCCTGGGTGACGTGGGGGGCGTAGGATTTAGGATAAATCAGTAGTTCTCGGTCTTTCTGGCCCCCTCAACCCCCCACTCTCCTAAAAACTCCAAACACTTGTGGCCCTCCGTTGTTTAATAAAAATGAAACTAGTTTTGTTTCATCTCATTTTCATCAATTTGTTTCTGCACCACATTTGAAAACAAGTCAATAAACAAAAGCAAAAGAATTTGCTCATGCCCCGTACAGACGGCTCAATTTTATAACCTCTAGAATAAACTTTTAGTGACTGTTGGTTTAAGGCCTTGCTCGGAAAAACTCATGAAAAAAACTAATTAATTGAACGCCATTTGACCAATGTATATACACTCAAAAGTAAAGAGACGCATCTTTCAGCGAAGTTACGGGCACTCACTCAGGAGTAAAGGAGACTCATCTCTGAGCAAAGTTACGGGCACTCACTATGAAATAAAGAAGACTCATCACTGAGAAGAGTTACGGGCACTCACTCAGTAGTAAAGAAGACTCATCTCTGAGCAAAGTTAAGGGCACTCGCTCAGAAGTAAAGGAGACTCATCTCTGAGCAAAGTTATGGGCACTCACTATGAAATAAAGAAGACTCATCACTGAGAAGAGTTACGGGCACTCACTCAGTAGTAAAGAAGACTCATCTCTGAGCAAAGTTAAGGGCACTCGCTCAGAAGTAAAGGAGACTCATCTCTGAGCAAAGTTAAGGGCACTCGCTCAGAAGTAAAGGAGACTCATCTCTGAGTAAAGTTACGTGTAACCACTGAAATACAAAGTTATTACTTAGATAGTTCACGACTTGTTTGATCTCTCCCCCCACAAAAAAAAATTTTTTCATATCTAATTTTCTTCTTGCATCACAGAAAATGGAGATGGTTACTGTTCCAGCCGACAACTACGGGAACTTCTACACTGGCGATGCCTACATCATACTTCATGTGAGTTAGAAGGGATTATTTTTCTGTTTGCTTAAAGAGAGGTCCTGATTATGGATGATGTTTTCCTTTCAGAGGGTGGGGGGGTGTTTCGAAATTTAGGGGGTTGTAAATATTAGCTATTAACATAAACGATTTGTAACTTATAAAAATGTCTTATGTACTCGACAGACCATCTGCACTGATAAATATGACATATTCTATATAGTTGAATGAAACTCTACTTAAATTTGGAATTGCACCTGAAAATTGGTGCGAGGGGGGGCAAAATTTTGGGGAGATGTTGTGAAATTACTATTCTATATATATATATAGATTTTATAAAAGTTTGCTCCAAGCTAGATTTTGATACTTTTGCTCATTTTGGAAAGAATACTTATCGAATAGTTGCAAACAAACGACTTCTCATCCACTAAGATCTTATAGGTTTTTATACAAGTTTACTCTAAACAAGGTCCCAAGCCCTCAACCAAAAGCAGTAAAGTCCTGATATGAGAGTTGCACCCGGCCGTTCGTATGCACGTTAATAGCTATATATATGTTTTTAAACGAGTTCGCTTAAATGAGCCCTCAACTGAAAACGGAATAAAGCATAGGGTCATTGCTTGAAATATTTTCTGGCTATACTGACGAAGGAAAGTTAGAATGCCCGAATTCGCCCATCCATCACATTTTATAATTTTCCAGACTGCGGACAGAAAATCAAAGTTAGCAAAGTGGGAATTACATTTCTGGATCGGAGCAGAATCATCCCAGGACGAACAAGGTATTTGTTTGTTATTTTTGGGAGGGGGAGAGGAAAGCTGATTATTAGTGTTCGGCTTGTTAGGCCTAAATATTTAGTTGGGCAGGTTGAAAATCTCAGGTTCAGCCAAAGCGTTTATATAATTCAAGCGAGGCAATGCTCAGACAATGGACGCCATTTTGTGGCATTTGTCCTCGGTTGTATTTGTGATTATTTTGTGAGAGGAAACTGAGGTTCAAAGCCCTTGCCATCTTATCAGGAGCCGATAATGGGTGTCAGTGGAAATTCGACTCTTTTACCGGGCCTAACTAAATTGGCATCATTAAGGTTAAAGATCTTGTGTTTAACACCCATTTCTTAACCTAGGGTTTAATGAATTGGGTTACAATGTTGAACGGAAACGATTTGAGTATTTCGGTAATAGTATTATGTATCAGTGACTTCTTGTACAGTGTCTCATTAATGAATCACTGCTAAAAAGACCAAGTTTAGGTCCTGTGTCCACAACTTTACTCATTGTATAATGCTGGAGCGTGCAACCTGCAACCAGCGGGCCAAATACAGCCCCCATAGAAATATTGTGCAGATTGCGGGAAAGTGCCAATTCTGAATGGTGTGCGGCTCACGAAATACATGATATAAGGCCAATAATCAAACTTTTTGTGCCTGCAACTACTAGATAGCCTATGTTAAATAAATATGTGGCTTACAGTTTCACCCTGTTAGGGTATCACCCTCCTGTATTAAAAGTTACAAACCACTGTTATAATATATTTTTTAGCAGACAATACCAAAACATCTCAAGTGTTCCAAAAAGAAATCAGCTCCATATTTATCAGTGAATGCTCACGCAGAGCCTTATTTTAGAGTAAAAGATGTAACCACATATTAAAAGAAAACATCTGGAAACTCTGTTATAAACTGGCTTCTTTGCCTAGATCCTATTTCTATTAATCTTTTGTCAAATTAGCAATGACATTAGTAAAATGTGTCGTATTTACCAACCTTTGTGACTTGGAATTGATGTTTTAGATCAGGGGTCACCAAACTTTTTTGACCGCGGGCCGGGTATGACTCAAATTGTGTTGAAACGGGCCAGATGAATATTTTTGTCAATGCAATACAATAAATTCACAAATGTTGGGAATATCGCAGAATATAGATCGAGAACATCCTAGGAAAAATAATTAACAAGATTTCTATATCTAGACAACTATCCTGAGTTTAGCTGTTATCAAAACGTTGCTGTCATGAATTAGAATTGTTACAAAATCCGCGTCAAAAAATGTATGCATCACGTCTGCTAAGTACCGTTACGACGTGTTGAAATACCGCTCATAAAAACGACTGCCTGCTGTAGCTTGGAATTCTATGAAATTTTGACATAATTTAGATAAAATAAACAACTATTATCTGGTATTTGAATTTTTTCATTAACGCATAGATTTCCCAACATTCGACGCTTTTAAAAATTACGCTCCAGTTATACGTAGTGCAAATTAATAATATTGTCTATGGACACCAATAAAATTTATATGGACGTGTGTATTTCTTGTCTAACTTGATACTTACCAATTTTTATGAAGTTCGTACAATCAGAACATCGTTAACAAGAGAGCTATGCTCAAATATATGGACACGTAGAGTCACATAATTTTGATGACGTCATAGCGAAAAAAAAGTAATAGCCTTCTGGAGAAAATTTTTATCTTTAACCACTGAAAATTTCAAAGCAATTGGTCCAGTATTCGAAGAGAAAAACGACTTTTTAAAAACGTGTCAAAGAACAACAACAACAACATAATATTGAAACGATCGTTATGTCCACTACGTGTCCAATTATTACCCACAATGAACCACTGTCAAACTATCATGCACAACTCCAGCGTTTATTTGCGACGATCTTTCGGCGGCGTCAATGACCGTTGCCAGAATAAAATCCTGAAATAGTCTCAATATACCATAGATGTGACGCACATCGAAAGATTAGTGATTGATATGTGTTATTTTTCCATATTTAGTACAGTTCTTATCAAAAAAGTAATACAATCATTATGGAAAAAATTGGCTGTCGGGCGGTACTAAAATTCCGATATCTCCGTTATTTCTTGACCGTTTATTCCAAACTTGGTATTGTTTTCTATTTTTACTCAGATTTTTCCACTGGAGCAGTTTTTATTTAAATTTTTTTGTAACATACCTACATGAATATCCGCATTAAAGCAGAACAAAAGTTAGTGTGGCTTTTGAAATTGGAGCAGTACGCGAGGGATTACAGTACTGTTAGCACAAAATGCGCATTCGACGTTTATTTTAGCACGAAAAACAAACAGTTTCGTCGAAAGCAAGCGCCACGAGTGTACAAGTGTATCGCAGAAAACTTTACGTACTGGTAGCATTCAAAGTCGCAAAAACGAAGTTTTGTTTACAACCACGACTGAAAATCTGTCAGGGTGACAAAAGTGTCTGAGCGGATGCGGAAAGGCCTATTATTACGTCAATTTTCTGCATCTTGCCGATTGGCCAATGTTACGAAATAAATAAGGAAGACGATGCTCGTGAAAATCTTCCTTGGAAAAAAATTTAGCCATTTTTGCGTGTTATTGCGGACCGGATAAAATGACGCCGCGGGCCGGATAAAATGACGTCGCGGGCCGGATCCGGCCCGCGGGCCGTAGTTTGGTGACCCCTGTTTTAGATGGCTGGTAAGGTTAGGGTTTATGAGGTTCCTTAAATTGTGTATACCGGTACATAGCTACTCATCATTGTGGGCTAACTTTCAACACAATAAATTAACTATGTAAACCAGGTTACAGGATATTGTAAGATATCAGGGGCTGCCATGTTCCGAGTCAAAATCGAAAATAAGCGAAAAATAACATATTCAGGGCTGGTAACTGCAAAAGTGGTCATAGTCGACATTTGACAGTATCACCTTATCGGCTTTCTCTGCTATTAGAAAAAATTTGGAACTCCTTTTCTATCCCAATTATTTGATCAAGGCCCTTCAATTTCCAAGCCCTTTTCTCCTAAATTGAATTAAACAACCCACAGGAAACATTTCTAGGGTGCGACATAAAACTGCTTACTTTTGGTTAAGGTTTAATGATGTTACACCTGTTTATTCAGTTGGCTCTCTCTTATATGAATTTCACCACCCCCTGACATCAGTGTTCAATATTAGCGCACTTTTTTCCGTTAGAGTAAACACTCCTTGACATCATTATTTGAATTTGAAAATTGATTTCTCAGATCTTTTTTTACTTTCCACTTGTCAAAAGCAATGTAGATGATTTAGCCAGTAACCATGGATACAGGATGAACCCATAAATTTCTTGATTACATATATAAAAATTGAGCAAACTTATTCAATTTTGTTTACGCTTGATTGTAAATTACCTCTACAAAAAATAATAATAATCATGTATGATTTTATCCAAAAAGGTTTAGTGATCTAGGACGCTCTGCATGCTAGGATGCTGAATGATACCTTAACATAGTTTATGTAGTTGTTCTATGTAGGTTATATCAGACTCTGAAATATTATGTCAAAAGTGTTTGTATCAATATGGAGGTCGTCTACTTTACATCAAGTTGTGTAAAGGAACTGAAACCTATGTATATTCACTTGGTCAATACAGACAGTCTCCGAACTCGTAATAAAACTAAAATCGGAATAAAATTATGTCCTAATCCTAACCTGGTACACATACTACGGGAGTACCTCTCAGAGTGTATTTAGAATGGTAGATTATTTGCTTTGGGCAATTTCTGTCAAGCAATGTCTTATGGCCGGGGTAATTTCTTCCCGGATAGGCCCCTAGTGCCATGTTACCCAATTGGGGGGAGCAATTATTCTTGGGGTAGCAATTTTGTGCCATAGTATTAGCCAACTATTATTGTTTAGTTTTTTAATATTACTGTAATAAGCATACATTATATGCTACCTGGACTGTACAAAAGCATGGAGTGCTAAAGTAAAGATAAAAATAAAGGACTTTTTATGCATATTGGGGAGGAAAGAAATACACGAAGGGAGTAATTTAATAAAAAAATGTTGAGAACAAACCACTACCCTAGTGGTCATAATGCTATTCAGGATATCTTAAATTGAGATATATTACTTTAGGAATGTATTTAGGATAGTAAAATATTCGGCATCCATTCATGCCTAGCTATTTCATGTACAATGTTTATCTAGAGCTCGGATGTGAGTCAAGTGTTCACTTAAGTACTTTGAAGTGCTCCCCTCTTCAAAATTAATGTTTATTATGATATTGTAATGAGATGACTGAATTTGCGGTTTAAAGTTATGTTTTCTATGCTGGTTCGTTGAACCACGACATGCGTTATTTTTAAAAATGATCACAAAATCTGTAATTTGATTTCAAATTAATATATTTGGTATTCCAACTTTGGTTTCATTTTACCTAGGACTAGTGCTAGTTTTAGTAATTGTGTTTCGAATCAAAAGTCTAAAGAAGAAGGATAGATTTAGTAGTAATTTGTTTGAAATTCGCGACCCCTAAAACTTGTTGTGTGCCCCCTATGGGGTCGCGACCCCCAGTTTGGGAGCCCTGCTTTGGAGGACTCTTGACATATGGGTTATGTCAACATTCCTATGCTTTTATATGAATCATAATGTATCATGTATGATAGTGTTAGAAATCAAACTATATATCTAACGATCTTATATGATCTTGCTTACATTGACAAGGTATCTTCAAAGTGAAGATTTTATGATAATGTTGTTTTAGGCCTATGAAGGATTTGTTGAAATAGATGTGTTGTAGCAGGAACACATAGAACATTCAGGGATTTGAATCGTCTTGTCTGGCTCACGGATTTTTGTTAACAACAATAATATATTTTGAAAAACCCTAAACTTTTTGTTTTGGCATTTCCTATCTAGTTTATTACAAGCAGGGCTGGGGAGCTGGCTTAAAATCAGTGTGGCTCCAGCTCCGACTCCAGAGCCAGAGTATATTCGAGCTATGGCTCCGACTCCCAACTCCGGAGCT